ACAATTTTTGATTGTCTCCTAAATATCAAATACTAGATCCATTTATAAAAATTCGTTATGTGCCAAATTAAACATTCAGATTATTAGAATTTTTGAGCGGAAAAGAATGGAGCGGTTGGGTGTGTAGTGTAAGCAAAAGCGAGAAAGAGAAAGCGTGAGAGAGCGACAGAGAGCGACAGAGAGCGACAGAGAGAGAGAGAGAGACAAAGAAAAAGAGAAGAATGGAACAAAATAAAATGAATGCTCGCCATTGCCACGCGTCAGTCAGTGTCTCCATAGATAAGTAGATAAATCATTAAAATTTATTTATGCAGATTGCTTTGTTTGGATGGGCGGAAAAGAAGAATGGCAAGGAGATAGCACATCATAGACAGAGCTCTCTTGCTTTGAATGTGACGAACATAGCGACCGACACTGAGAAAATTCTCGTTCTGAGAATGCGAGAGAGAGAAAGAGACAAAGTGAGACAGACACAGATTTTCAGCGATTTTTCAAAGCAAAACCGATGTGCAAAGCATATTACACAGAAAGCGGATAGACGATATACATTTTTAGTTACACACACCATTTCAACCATCATCAAGTTTAGCAATGTTTTAGAACGTCAAATACTTAACATTTTATTGTTATTCGTTTTTCTTCGAAAAATTTTCTCACTCAGTCGCTCATCCGCTCGCTTGTTCACTCAATGTGCGTCTTCCTTTCGCTTCATTTGCTTAGAAGATGTTGTGCTATGACAATTCCGTGTGCGGCATATGTATGCTTTGTGTTCTTGGATTGCCTATCATCAGGTCTATCACGGTGATCGTCCACCCTCTTCTCCTTCCCAATTCCCGGCTGCTACCCGAAATATGTTCAAATTTTCCGTAGATAGGCCCGAAAAGAAAAACGAGAGCGTCGCTGCTGCCGAAAACACTCGCCAAAGATATTACGTGAAATTACTTGAATATGGTAAATATCTACTCAAAATGTTAATATGTTTCATCAAAGGCGAATAAAAATCCAAATAAATCAGGTTGTACGTTTGCAAAGAAACAAAAACAAGCTCATTCACTCATTCAATTCAAACTTGGTTTTATTTGCCTTTGTTTTCGTCGTCGTCTTCATCCATTCGTTAAATTTATTCGCTTTTCTATTGTTTAATTTGGAGCAATTCATACTTTTTAGCATGATTTTGTGTGTTATGTCGCCGAAAATTGTTTTCCGCAAGCAGCCACTCGCGAACAATGTCAATTGGGTCAAAACGCGCGCACACGCTCAACGCACGTGCGTTGTTCTACCAATCCAACAATTGCCAAAATGAATTTAAATGTTGCTATGAATGTAAGGATATGTACTGGATATCTTGAGTTGTCCAAATTTTTCGGCCGACAAATGATATTTGAGCCGTAATTACGCTCTCTCTCTCGCTCCCTCATTTCCCCCAAAATAATAATTTTCAAATCGGCATACAACTTATCAGGGTGTGAATCAAAATATTATGACGCCCCCTCCCATCTGTTCACTTTATAATTTAAATGCCATTAGTAATGTGGGCCAACCACGTAATTATTTTAAACACATAATGATATATGAATGTTTTCTGCGTTTAAACCAAATTGAAAAATGACCAACCATAAATGCTTTTTGGCAACGAATCGATTCGGAATGCATTGCGAAGCTTGGTATATTTGATGCTCGTCTGGTTGTGAATGTGTGATTGTTTTATGTATTCTTGACCTCTAACCACTATTTTTTCCTATATTTTTTTTTTCGCTGTTGTCAAAGCTTTTTTGCCTTTGAAGTCGATGGTCAACTAATTTAAATTCAAAACCGAAGCATTTGCTTTCATCGATTTTTGTTTTTTTGTTCCTCTTCCTTTTTTCTGCAATGATTTTGATTTGTTATTCGGTGTAAGTTGTCGCCGTTCACGTGACAGTGGTATCGATTCGCCAACCAAACATCTTCATTAATTTACCTTTCATCATTTACCAATTTACCTTTCATAGATTAAATTAAAATCAGTCTTATGTATTACGCAGCCCATTTAAGCGTAATCAATGCGAAATGGCAACTAATCATCCAGATAATTTACCATCATGAAATTTATGCCATGCAAAGAATGTCTAAACATTCAACCCAAATGAATGCAAGGTGGAGCTACTTTTTTTTCCTCTTTTCAAAATATTTGCAAAGAAAAGCAGCAGACGGAGCAAAAACTGTGATAGCAGAAAAGTGCATTGCCACAAGTGGAAATTTAGAATCGACGCGCATTTAACAGCGTTCTACAGAAATATTCTTCATTTAATTCAAATCATCGATTCAATAGTATCTTGTCTGGTTCGCATTTGCCAACGTTAAATCCCGTTTTATTTCCTTCGCTTCGGCTGCATAATCATGAAAGTTGATGGTCGATGCGAGTGTATTCCACATGTATTCATGTGAAATTTCACAGTCAAACATCAAGTGGTTCACAGATTTTTCGAGTGCTTAAATCAACGGTCGCATATAGAGAGGCAGACAATGGCTGATTTCAACTTTAGAGCAGCCAATCGATGTCACATTAAAGGAGACGTGCATCATAATCAAACGAGCCCGCATGTGAAAGCGCCACTTTATGAGTGTATATATATATATATATATGTGTGTGTGTGTGTGTGTGTGTGTGTGCGCGAGGCTGTGTGCAAATGCAGTGGGTATTGCATACCACGTTCGAGCCAATTTTATTTTCAGTTTGTGGTTAAACGTGTGAGCTACCATGGGTAATATATTAGCATATCAAATATCGCTATGTGTTAGTGAGTGTGTGTGCATGTGCATGTGAAGCACAGCTTGCTCCAATGTATTTGTATCGCTTGCTACAAATATATCGTAGCGAGCACATCGCAAATCGCTTTATTGACGTTAAATCACATAATTGAGTGCATGTTGGTCTATTTGATGATAAATGTTAGCTTGTCGTCACAAAGTGCGATGGACCAGCACTCCAGTGCCCTTCCGTAATAATGATGATGGCAGACAGAGACGACGATACAATATATATACTGCGAAGCTCTGAGACGATCATATGCAGGCTTTTGATTCTCAGCTTAAATATACACATTTATCAGCCACTGGCACCGAGTGTGACGGCGAAAAGAGAGAAAATAAACAAACAGATGCGTCAAAACCTCACTTATCATTTGTGTTGATTTACACATTCACGTTCTCTGTGTCGCGCGCGCGTGGCTCGCCTTTTTTTCTCTCATCCACCTCATCATCATCGTCATCATCGTCAGCAGCAGCATCAGCAACAAACGGCTGAACAAGCATATATTAATATTAATTTCGTGTCCATATTCACTCAGTCGAATGTGACCGCGGATGTTTTTATATTTCATTTTAAAATTATATTTAATTCATATTGATAATTTATATCCTTAAATCGTTCGATAATTGCTCTGTCAACAGCAAATTCTGATGAAGCATAAATGATATGATGTCAAAATTGATGATGGACTGTTTTTGGTTGCCATCACTGTTGCGTATATTATTTTCATGAGCACAACATACGACGATATGGTCTCATTTAGATGAAAAAATTTAAACAGAAAATTCTCTCAACATTCGAACTCTTCTATCAAAGTGAAAATTCATGAAGCATTGCCGAAAAAACGACCAAATTTCCCGTTGATTAAATATTTATCTTTCATACATCATTCTTCGTTTGTCGTGTTACATTATTACGCTGCTCTGGAAAAGCGGTAAAACGGTGAATTCGAAAAGTTTTGTGTAATCAACACGAATCGACATCAAATTCAGGGCCATGAATAATATCCTGAATGATTTTGCTAATTTGCAAATTTATCCCATCAAGTGAAACGCAGAGCGAGAGATGGAGAGAAAGGGGGTGAAAGAGGGATAGAAAAATATATAGGGAGGTGAAAAACGACGGAGACGGCCGAAATGTAGGTGGAACGGCTAAATAAACGTCACATGCGAATTTTGCAATAAGAACACTCGAACATCGGAGCATCTGCCAAGAATGAACATTTATCCGAAAAGTAATGGAACCGACGCTGTCGTCGTCGTCGTCGTCAGGCGACAGGAGGAAAATGAAATGTGAAACGAAAAGGAAGCATATAATAACAATAATGCCGGATTATATAGAGGCACAATAGTGCCAAACTATTTGTGAAATATTTAAGCTCTTTTCCTCACACTCAAAAATGAACGAGCAAACGAATGAACGAATAACTCTCTCTCTCTCTCTCTCTCTCTCTCTCTCTCTCTCTCTCTCTCTCTCTCTCTCTC